CCCCAAAACCCCAAAACCCCAAAACCCCAAAACCCCAAAACCCCTTTTAGTCTAGTGTTTATTGCTAATTTATATAAAATTATTTATCATGGAAAATTCAATTCAAAATGATATCGAAGAGCCATTCCTGAATGGCAAGGTCAACAGCACCACTGTTGAAAGAGACCCAGTCCTCATCCAAAAATACAAAAAGTTAGAGCATAGCTACAGCTGGAAGATAATCTTCTACCTAAATGTATTCCTTGCCTGTGTCTCTTTCTCAATCGTGTTGCCTTCCTTGTGGCCATATCTTCAGAGATTCGGAGTTGATGAAAACTTTTTGGCACTTGTGCTTGCGATCTACTCGATTGGAGAGTTCCTAGGATCAATCTTATGGGGATACATCTACAACGCTTCCACGATGAAGTTCTCCCTGTATACTTGCATTGGAGCTGGATTCATTGGATCCTTGCTCTACTCCTTCGGAGGCTATTTCCTAGGGTGGGGAAAATGGCTTGTCTTTCTTGGAAGATTCATTCAAGGACTCTGGACAGGAGGACAACAAGCGATAGAGCAAGCATACATCACAGAATGTATCGACAAAGATGAGAATCTTAGCATGATTGCAGATCTTGGAGCCTCTGCCGTGCTTGGATTCGTCCTTGGTCCAGTAGTCGGTCTTATCTGTGGCTTTATTAATTTCAGAGTTGGCTCATTCTATGTCGATGAATACACCTCTAATGGGTACTTCCAGGCCATCTTCACGATCATCATGTTCCTGGGTACCTTCTTTTTGTTTGTAGAGATCCCAAGAGAATATAGAAGAGGGCTTCAAGAAGATGAAGATGAAGAAGAAGAAGACGAGAATGAGGCTGAAGACGAGAACGAAGATGAAGAAGTTATTCAAAAGGCTAAAGAAGTAATGCAGCATGATCCTAACACTTATGATTTCTCATCTCTCGATGATCGCGTCAAAAACTACCTCTCTAAAGTCAAGCCAAATCAAACAGGAGTATTAGTATGCTTGTTAATTTTCTTGATTCATTTCAATGGCTTTGCTGTGCAAGAAACGATAACTACTCCAATCTCTACTGATGTCATTCACAAGTACACAGATACACTAGATTACCCAGAAAGCTTTGCTTATATCTTGTTTGCTTGCAGTGGATTCCTGTCTCTTCTGACTTTCTTGGCCCTTAAAAGGATCAACACATGGACATCGGACCAGAACTTTGTACTCCTCAGTTCAATAATGGGACTTATTGGATACTTTGTTCTTCTTGATTTCTCTCCCAGAATCATCGAGCCTGCAAGATTCGTCATTGGATTTTGCATTATTAGTGTAACTTTCCCTCTCGGGAGAGGAGTGACCTTGTCCTTATTCTCAAAACTTATTGGAAAGCACAAAGCTGGAGTTTACATGGGATACATCCTCGCAGTAGGCGCTATCTCCAGAATCATTGGTCCATTCTGGTCAGTACAGTCACTCACAGTATCTCCTTCGCTAACTTTCGGAGTGTCTGCATTCTTGTTCCTCATCAATGTGGTAGTCCAGTTGCTTTATTCAAACACTTTAAATGCACATTGGTCATACTACATCAGCATTGCTGAGGAAGAAGAGGAAGCAAAGAAGGAAGGAAAGGGCTCTTCCGGAGTCACTCCTAAGAAGTCATATTCTTCTTACAACCCCTCACCTAATGCTCAGTACATTCTTGATGAGAAGAACTCTCAGAAGAACAAGTTCAAGGGCAAAAACATCAGTGGAATGGTGTAAGGTAAAGGGAAGGTAATCATAAAAGTTCAAAACTTTTATTGGTAAGCTTTACATTCAATACTAATCACAATGTAAGGGGTTTTGGGGTTTTGGGGTTTTGGGGTTTTGGGGTTTTGGGG